CTGCACGCAGGGCGTCTGTCGGAGAGACCGCGGGGCGAGGGCAGCCACCATCCAGCATCACCTCGCTAGCCTGGAACCCAACGCCGGAGAAGGCTCTCGTTCGGGCACTCTGACAAAAGTGAAGAGCCCAGCTCCAAGCCACAGGGCTGAACGAAATCGTTGATGCCGATGGGGGCTCCATCGGTGGGTTTGAGACCGATGTATGCATTGGAGACCGCGGGCGGCGAGAACAACGGCCCCATTCCTGCAGGCAGTCGCAAGCGATAAAAATATCGCCCTGGGCGAACGCAAAACTGTCGTCGCAGTCGACGCTGGCCCGCGCAATGGGCGTGGGAAGCCTTGCGGCCGGCGGCGCCGTGAAACTGCAGTTGGCCAGCCGAGCGTCGAAAACAAGCCTGGCCACGTGGTTGGACTTCTCCACGAAGAACCAACCAATTGAAACAGAAAAAAAAAGCTTGTGGGCTGGCGGCCTGCCGTGACATCATGTCGCGGGCCTCCACCTGCTGCAAAAACTGGGCGCGCAACTTGGGCCGATGGCGAAGCTCGGGATCCACGCGGGGGCGCACCACCCCCAGAGACTCACGAATCTCCGCCGCGACCGGATCGGGATTCAGCATGCTCTGCCCCCAATCCTGCAGCGCGATGGAGTCGGCCTCGGAGACGACGTCGGCGGCGGAGACAATCTTCGTCGACTCGGGCCAGGTTCGCCAAGAGGCTCGCTGCAGGGGCGCACTCGACCGCTGTCGCCAGCGCAGCCAAGTGCCTGGGCGAGCGCCTCCACGAGGGATGCCTCGCAGGCGCTGCCCCTCTCCGAGTTCGCGGCGGGCGGCTCAAACTCGCGGTGCTGGTCCGCCAGGTGCTCCACAGAGGCCGTCTGCACCGCGGGCGTGCGCGCGCTGCCCCTGGTCTCGCACAGTTCGTCCTTGCCGCAGTGGGGCCAGTTGAGAGCGGTCAACCCCTCGTTGCACCGCTCCCTCCAGCCCGCGCCCTCGGCGGCACGCAGACGAGCAGCTCGTCCAAGGGGCTGGCGACGTCGACCGTCCACAGGAGGAAGGGGCGGGGGAAAAAACATCGCGCTGACGATGATCACCGCGTCTGGGCGCCTCTAGACCAGGCGGGGCCCTGAAGGGCTCCGGGCGTAGCTGGCCAGGCTCTCGCGCGGGAGCGGCGCGCTCGGTTGGCCCATCCTGGCCAGCGTCCTCGGGGCACGTCATGGGGCCCAGCCTTGCGTCGTTCTTTCGCCACTGCGGATTCGTTCTTCATCTGATCTGCTGTCCAATCCATCAGGGCAGAACTGATACACAGGTTGCCCTTCGTCTCGCCTGCGCCAAGGATCGGGCGTTGGCAGAACTGGGTTTTGCACTGGGAAGCGCCCCCCAGGCCCTGTTCCACGAACCGGAACTGCCGTCGCCCGAAAAACACCAGCTACGGCAGACCTGGCTTGGTGAATCCGGCCGATATGAAGGGCCCAAGGCCCTGCCACTAACCGGGCCCCCTTGCCCGGGGTCCTGACTATGCCCGAAGGGGAACCGCCCGACCTCCGAAGCGAAGTCGGTCGGGTTGGCCCCCTTGGCCTGCGCCTTCGCCACGGGCGCTGGCTGCGTCTGCCGCGCGCGCTCCTCGAAGGCCCGCCCCTCGACCAGCTGGAGCTGGCGGGCCAGGTACTCGACAGAGGCGAGCTCGAAGATCACGATGTGGTCGTGGAGCATCGCGGTCTCGATCGCACCGCGCGTCGTCACGCTGAGCTTGACGTTCTCACCATGCTCGCCGAGCTGCATCATCGCCCGCCATCGGCTGTGCCAGGCCATTGATCCGCCAGACATGCGCTGCATAAAACCGAGCACCCAGAGCATGGTCCTGGGCCCCTTCACGGGCCAGTCGGCGCGGTCGGTCTCGTTCTGGAGCTCGAGCGCATCGCCGAAACTCAAGTCGCGCAGGCCCCGCCCGTCGAAGACGAGGGCCATCGCGCGGGGGTCGCTGCCGCCGCTGCGGGGGGGGCCAAGGCCCCGCCGGCGCCTGCGGGGGAAGCTGCGGCCGCCGCGGGCGCAGGGGCCCCGCCTCCGAGCGCGGCGGCCAACGCGCCAAGGCCGCCGCCGACTGGCGGCGCGGCTGCGGCGGGCGGCGCGGCCAGCGCGGGCGGCGCAACAGTCGGGGGGGCTGGCACCAGCGGGTCGGGCAAGGCCAGGCCCCCTGCCGCTGCGCCCAGGACGTCGGTCGCGCTGAGCTCCAGGTTGAAGGGCGAGGCGGGAAGGGGCCCATGCCCCTGTGCGATTCCTCTTCGAAGAGCTGCTCAAACATCTGCCGCGAATTGGAGCTGCCGAAACTGATAAAGGCGGTTCGCGGGAACTCCAGCCAGCCCTTCGCCCTGGCTCACGAGGAGATGCACCGAGCGGAGATATCCGCCTACGACTCCGCTCTTGGGGTAGTCGCCGCCATCGGGCGCCAAAATATATCCAGGCAAGGGGGTCAATCCTTCGTGGTGGATGGCAGGGCCACCGACGTTGCATCGCACCAGGTGGAACTGACCAGGACGAGGGATCGCCATGATGACTATCAGCGGCGGAAGCTACGAGCCTGGGCGGCCGCTGCCGTCGCAATGTCGAGGGTGGTGATGGGCCCCTCCGAGGCGGACGGGCTCGACTTGCCTCGCCCCACCGGCACTTTGGAGGCCGAGGTCGGCGACTGGTTGAAATAGAACCCGCCGACGAGGACACCGTGGGAAAAGACCAGCAGCAACACCAGCACGACGAGGAGCTCTGTCGACCTCCCCGCGGGCGAGGTCGGCGTGATTTGCCCCTCGCCGCTGGGGCAATGGCACTCCAAGCCGGGACAGTGGAGCGCATGCGAGCACGCACAATCAGGGCACGGGATCGAACTCCCACGCACTATGATGGCAGTCGTGACCGCACTGCTGAGGTCGTGGGCGAGGCGTTCGGGCTGGGCCTGCATACGCCCTCAAGAACTTGAGCAAAAATGTTGCGGTCACGGATAGTTCACAAACGCCGGCAAGTCGCTGTATGATGGTGGCGGCGAAGATGGTGATGGTGACGGTGACGGTGATGCTGAGCATGGTGATAATGATCATGCTGATACAAATCGTGATGATGACGATGATGGTGTTTACGATGATCACGATAATGGTGGTGATGCAAATGATGGCGAACGGCCGGCGATCGGACGGATCGCAACAGCCTTTTCAAGCTTCGACCAGGAAGCTAAGGGAGCTGACTGCACCCAGGAGGGCTGTTATGATCTCTCCCTGAATTGAAACTCTCTGGAAGCGCCCCCAAAATGTCGCAACCAGTGCGTGCCCATCGGTTGCGATCGGTCTGAAGTGGTCGACGATCGGTCTGAAGTGGTTGCGATCGGTCGTGCTCGCCCTGGCTTTCGCGCCTCATCCTGGGATACGACAATTTACGTATGTGTTCGCCCCATCGTGCACGACCTCGCACCATCCAAGGCGGGCCGGACTCGCCCCTCCAACTCATTGGAAGAACATGCGCGCGCACTTGCTCATCACATATAATCGATATTCAAAGACCCCTTGCACAAACAAATGACACAGTCCACACGCGCGCGGCGTGGCGCACGCATGCCAAAATCCGTCAACGACATGTTGCCGTAAGGATTTCAAGATCCAGGTTGTCGAAAACATGTGTGTAACAGAAATCGAATGGTTGTGCAACGTGATGTGTCAAAACAAATACGCACACCCTTGTAATTTCGTGCGACAACCATGCGCGTCTCAACATTTTCATGTCATTCAACCCAGCGGGCCTCTCGAGCGGGCATGTCGAGATCAAAACAACGCCCTTGCGCGCTTGCGGGGGAAACACGATCCCTGTGAAATAATTCGAGACCGTGCCTTTGGCACGAAGCGGAGTTCCCCAAGGCTCACCGCTGTGCTGCTGCTGAAGCCAGGATTGTAGTTTCTTGAGGGCCTGGACCACTAATTCCCTAGGGGCTTCCGGGCGCTCTTGGGCGATCCTGGGGCGTTCCGCATGGGCCACCAAGGCGGTTACAACGCCCCAAACGACACGGAGGGCATCGCAGAACTTCCCACCGCCACCGAGCGCCCAAGACGGTCAAGGAGCGCCTTTGGACAACCCAACAGGCCTCCAAGACGCTCCAAGAGGCCCCCAAGATGCAAAAATCGCGCCATCCCCTTCGAACAAAAACATATGTAATTAGCAAAATTCGCCTCTCGGCCGAACACAGCGTCCAAGACGGCCCCAGAGGCCCCCAAGATCCACCCAAGACGGCTCAAAGGGCCCCCAAGAGGGCTCCAAAACCGCCCAAGAGGGCCCCAAGACTGCCCAAGAAGCCCCCAAGACGGCCGCAGGACGGCCCCATGATGAGGCACGCGGAGTTTTCTCGGTTTCGGCCTCCAAGGGGCCACGAAGCGCTGTACTGGGTGGCGCGGACGCATGTGGTCATAGCCCCTGGGGCCTTCGGTGGCGCTCACGGGGCCACGAAAGGCCGTACTTGGTGGCGCGGATGCATGTGGTCAGTCGCTGGGGCTTTCGGTGGAGTTCCCTGTGTTGCCGAGAAGCGCTTCACTGGGTGTGGAGGACAGAGGCGGGGATGGGAGGATGGGGAGGCGGGCAGCAGGTGGAAAGAAAACGCGGGGTGCTGTCTCTTCGAAACGAGGACCCAACAACCGCATAAGCACAAACTTTCAGAGCTCCGCGCGAACTAGAAAGAGACATAGACAGAGAGAGAGAGAGAGAGGTAGAGAGAGCAAGGACAGAGGAGGCGAAATTCCAAGCAGGGCTGGTGTGGAAGGCTCCCGTCGTGGAGGCCCCGGCAGTGGTTGCTGGCGTCGCGTGGATCGTTCAGCTTTGAAGCATCGCTAGCGACAGCTGCTGCTGGCAGCGTTTCGACCGCCAGATCGTTCCATATCAACCGGTTCTGGGCCACCGGCGGTACTCTACCTGGAACACCCGTGGCGGTGTCGCCGCCGCGTCGACGCAACGAGAATCTGCGGGGGCGGCGGGCGCCACTCGGGGTGCTTGACGATGGCGTCGTACTTGGCGCTCACGATGAGCCGGTAGCACCAGTCGCCCTCTTGAGCGTCAGAGCACTCCTCGCGACACGCTCGGTAGGTCGGTGGGTGCGGCGGCATCAGGCACGGCAGGCCGTAATTAGTTCAGACAGGGGAGGACATCTTGAACGCCACGGCATCCATTGGGACTGCACGAAGCCCTAGGTCACCTAGCGTCGAGCATCGCGCCCCACGATGCGCAGTTACCTTCGCGCCCTCGCGCCGCCTCCATGGAGAAGGGCGCCTCTCCACCCCAGCTCGCGATGCGCAATTATCTTCGCGCCCCAGGGGACTGACCTGTGGAGCTGCACGGGCGCCGTAGGACGGACAGGGTGAGCATGACGGGCAGGACAGCCCGAGCAGAAACGCGACGGGAGGGCAAGCAGCACCTCCGGACTGGGCAGGTCAGACGAGGGCGGGCAGGATAGGACAAGGCACGAGGTGGCACGGGGAAACACACGAGACATCGTGTTCTGGGCACTGGGCAAGCCAAGAAAAAAAGGACATGCCCAGGATGGGGCATGCCGGGCGCGCCAGAGGGGGTCGGGCGGGCGGAGCTCCAGCAGCGAGCAATGCATAAAGAACCACGAGAAACGGGGACAGTCCAACCAAAAGAAGGCCCTGCTGCCCGCACACGATTGCACACGCACATGATAAACACAATGTAAATAGCACAAGCCCTATGGGCCTATGGGCGTAGGTGGTCGATGGGAGTTTGTCTGCCTTCTTCAGGGTCGGCTACACCCCACGCTAGCGCAACATTGAACAAACGATGGTGACGGCATCCCGACACGAACCCCCTACAACCTGCAAGCGGGCCTCCAATTCGGATAATGATTTATCCCTCCCCTCCCCCCTCTCCCGGGTGCCACGTAAGCCCCAAGATTGCCTCCCAGATGGCACACGATAGCCCAAGATTGCTTGCATCATGCTTCCACGAGGCCAGCGACCGCTCCAAGATGGCTCCAAGTGGCCACGGAGCATGGGATAGATGTCCTCCGCAGGGTTCTAAACCTAAAACAAAACGCAAGAACATCGGAACGTGTGCCTTCTCGTTTTTTCGCTTCCGATGGGCTCCTGAGGCCTCAAGATGGCTGCAGGATCGCCTGAGCGAGCCCCATGAGGGGCCCAGAAGGGCTCCAAGACGGCCCCAGGAGCGCCCAAGAGCATCTCAAGAGGGCTCCGAAAGGTGATCGTTCGTGCTCCGGAGGGTCAGTGCTAGTCGGGGCCGCCCTGTATCTGTTCGATGGCCTCCAAAAAGAGGACCCAGGAAGGCCCCAGGAGGACCCCAACGGTTCCCAACAGGTCCCTAACAGAGATCCAATATCGTTCCATTAGGTTTCCAAGCTCACCTTTGTCGGCAACTTTGATTCACTGAGTGTTTATCTGTCTCATTCCTCCGAACGGCTCGCCTGGGAATCGTTCCTAGATGTGCTGGTGGGGATGCGCGAAGCGTCAAATTCTTTGGGGAGGAAAAGGGCGCGACCAATGATCGCCACAACGCGGCAAAGACCGTCAGGCGCAATAGGCAACTTCGCGCAGTGAATCGTAGTCTGAGAGAGAGAAAGGACACGAGCTGCACGTATCCCCCGAGGCCCAAAAACGGCAACCGATACCGACACGGAGCGACGAGAGAAAGGGCGAAGCGTCAAGAGTTCACCAGCAAATCCAGAGACAGCCACAAATCTGTCCCTGGGCCCTTCTTTGCAGCATTCTGACTATTTGCTATCCCCCCCACTACGAGACAGAACGCCTCACAAGAACGCCAAAGCCCCTTACACGCGACACGGGGGCCGTGTAGCTCCCCGAGCGGCTGACAGCAGCGACGGCCGAACGCGCACTGCACCCTGTGGGCAGCACTCCGACCGGTCGCCCAAGAGCGAAGACCTCGGGCTGATGGCGTGCGGGACAGGATTTGTTGTGCACGCGCCCTTGCGCGAAGCGCCCCAAAATCGCCCGCCACGCCCCGGGGCCCCAGCTCCGTCTCACAAGGTGCTGTGCTGTTATGTGCTGTGCTGTGTCGATGCGTTGTTCGGCTTGAACTCGACATGTAGAGCAACCGGGGAGCCCTACTATGTAAACTGTTATGCGCGCGATGTCAACAACTTACAACTTGCATCCACAAGCGACCCCAGATCGGCGCCCTAGCGCCGTGTACACTCGGAAAACAATTCCATACTGCAACTTCTGTACAGTGTTGTTTGACGTTTTCTAGCTGATCTTGGGATTCAGAAAGCTACACAATTGAGGGGCAATGTTTGGGTGGGGGTGGCATAGGGGGGAGGACATCGACCTGCCGACGATACATCGCCAATAGATCGGCGATAGGCCCCCGATACCGAATCCGCACATTCCTGGGCGGGGAAGGGGTATCAGACCCCCATCTGCATCCCCCCTATGCCTGTCCCCCCGGTCGCTACCCCTGAACAGCTCGCAGCCTCCTCTAACCGATCCGAAATGGCAAGCTGGAGGCGATGGGAGCGGGCACGAAGAACAAGGGACGGATCGGGAGCGGGGCCGAAGTCCGTCTGCACGCTCACTTGGAGGAGCGCGACGGAGTCTTCGTCGCCGTCGGCCGCGCTCGCGGCGCGCGCCTCAAGTCTGTATATATATATATATATACACAACATAAACTGAATATATAATATATACAATATATATATACATATACACATACACATATATATATATATATATACACCATATCCGCCGGCCCCCTTGCGGGGCCATCACGCTGCGAGGGTTAAGCTTGCTGCTCCCTGCGCCAGCTCCAATTTCCAATCTCCATTCTTACAATACTGTTTTCTGTTTCTTTCTGAAAATTGTTACTATCCGCGCGAGGGGGGGAGCCGAAAACATATATTTTCTAGCACCTCCCGGGAGGGTTCTCAGAATTCCTGATGGGGGGTAAAACGTGACACCCCTCACGCATATCGGCGGGGCCAGGGTCCAAAAACACAGAAGATGTGCCTCATTATTCAAATTTCCTGACACCCCTCATGCAGATCGGCGGGGTCAGGGTCCAAAAACACAGAAAAATGTGCCACATTTCCGGTATCCAGTGGCACCCCTCACGCAGATCGGCAGGGTCAGGGTCCAAACGCATAAAGAATTTGCCGCCTTTCTGAAACTCGGTAGCACCCTTCACGCAAATCGGCGGGGTCCGGGTCCAAAAACACAAGGGACTTGCAGCATTTGTGATATTCGGTGGCACCCCTCAAGCAAATCGGCGGGGTCAGGGTCCAAAAACACAAAGAGTTTGCCACATCTCGGAAATTCGGCGGCACCCCTCACGCAAATTGGCGAGGTCAGGGTCCAAAATATGAATTTGCCACATTTCCGAAATTCGGTGATACCCCTGACGCAAATCTGCAGGGTCAGGGTCCAAACGCGTAAAGAATTTGCCGCATGTTTGGGATTCTCTGGCACCCCTCACGCAGATCGGCGGGGTCAGGGTCAAAAACATATCGGATTTGCGGCATGTTTGAAATTCGGTGGCACCCCTCACGCAGATCGGCGGGGTCCGGGTCCAAAAACACAAAGGATGTGCCAAATGTTTTAAATTTCCTGGCACCCCTCACGCATATCGGCGGGGTCAGGGTCCAAAAACATTTGGAATTTGCCATCTTTCCAACATTTCCTGGCACCCCTCACGCGGATCCGTCGCCCGAATCGAGCCGGACCGCTCCGGGAACGGCCCGACGAGCACTCCGTGCGAGCTGGCACGAGCGGGCCGCCCGAAATTGGGCCGGGAACGTACCGGACGGAACCCAAAACCATATTAAATAGTAAAGAAAATGTGTGTTGGGAGCCGTTTTTGTGGAGCCACTGTCATTTTGCCGGGCCGGCCAGAATCTGCCAGATTTGCCCGAATCGAACGCGGCGTCGACAGGCCCGAAATCCAAATCCAGGCGCTCCCGGGCGCTCCCAGGCGCGCCCGAGCGCTACGTGCGAGCCGGGGCGCCCCCAGAGCGGCCCGACGAACGCCTGTGCGAGCTGGCACGAGCGGGCCGCCCGAAATTGAGCCGGGGACGTACTGGAACCCAAAACCAAATTGATTAATAAAGAAAATGAATTGGGAGCCGTTTTTGCTGAGCCACTGGCATATTTTGCCGGGTCGGCCAGAATCTGTCAGATTTGCCCGAATCGAGCGCGGCGTAGGCAGACCCGAAATCCAAGCCCAGGCGCGACCGAGCGCTCACAAGCGCGACCGAGCGCTCCGTGCGAGCCGGACCGCCCCCGGAGCGGCCCGACGAGCACTCCGTGCGAGCTGGCACGAGCGGGCCGCCCGAAATTGAGCCGGGGACGTACTGGAACCCAAAACCAGATTGATTAATAAAGAAAATGTATTGGGAGCCGTTTCTGCGGAACCACTGGCATATTTTGCCAGGTCGGCCAGAATCTGCCAGATTTGCCCGAATCGAGCGCGGCGTCGGCAGACCCGAAATCCAAGCCCAGGCGCTCCCGCGCGCTCCCAGGCGCGACCGAGCGCTCCGTGCGAGCCGGACCGCCCCCGGAGCGGCCCGACGAGCACTCCGTGCGAGTTGGCACGAGCGGGCCGCCCGAAATTGGCCCGGGGACGTACCGGAGCCCGAAACCAGATTGACAAATGAAGAAAATGTGCATTGGGAGTAACTTTTGTGGAGCCACTGACATTTTGCCAGGTCGGCCAGAATCTGCCAGATTTGCCAAACTCGAGCGCGGCGTCGGCAGGCCCGAAATCCAAGCCCAGGCGCTCGCATGCGCTCCCAGGCGCGCCCAAGCGCTCCGTGCGAGCCGGAGCGCCCCTGGAGCGGCCCGACGAGCACTCCGTGCGAGCTGGCACGAGCGGGCCGCCCGAAATTGGGCCAGGGACGTACCGGAGCCCGAAACCATATCAAATCATAAAGAAAATGTGTATTGGGAGCTGTTTGCGGAGCCACTGGCATATTTTGCCGGGTCGGCCAGAATCTGCCAGATTTGCCCGAATCGAGAGCGGCGTCGACTGGCCTGAAATCCAAGCCCAGGCGCCCCCGGCGCGC